TAATCTCAACATGCTACACTACTATTTAAAAAATCATGGCACATCACAGACTGAAAGGATTTTACTGCACAGGTGTCATGAAGAGAGAAATGAGATGCAGAGAACCAAACAGTTTTTGTACCAGACTGTAAACATGTTTATTTCTGCTGTAAAGTTGATAATTTTAACATAGAGCTCTATGGGGACTGACTGACTGCAGGAGACAGACTCTAGTGGACACTGGAGGAACTGCAGTTTCTGGTACTTTAGAACTGGTTTCTATTTACAGCCCCAAAGGTAACTGAATTAGAAAACCAGAACAACAAAGCTTCTCGTCGTGACAAATGTTAAGATTATATTTCTGATTCTGATGAATGATCTTCACGCCTTCAGAGGTTATGAATACCATCCTCTTAGAGTGAAAGTGAGAAGATTAGTCAGTCCAACAGAAGGCGAACAGCACTTGTCGTGTGGAGGACAGCTGCTACTGAGATTATACCCTGCTGCTAAGCTAACAGGTCAAAGGACAAGGAGGAACCTGCATTCAGCAGGTGCAGAGAACAACAAATATCTGTTAATGTCAACAGCAGACATGAGACAGGCGAGAGTTTGGTAAAAAAGAAGAAAACAATCTGTTGCACATTATCCATTTTGAGGTTAGCTCGGCTGAGCACAAAGCGGTGACATGAGCTGTAGGACTCTCAGGTGTTAGCATGTTACAGGAAGACATCCGGATTAGCTTAACTCACGACTGTATGCTTTGGCACGAGTGTGTGAAGCTATCAGAGTGCAGCCTCAGTAGGCCACTGTATGATTAGCTCTATGGTTATTTCTCTCTGTGCAGGGTGAAGCCCGAGACGTGAGGTTAAAAAGCTCAAAGTTTTCCAAATGGAAAATCACAGACACAGATACGATTATGAAGGTGTGTGTTAAAGGCTGCGAGCTGTCTGAGGGCAACAAAGCCTCTCTTCACAGAGGACATACACCAGGTCAAGAGAGCAAGACAGGATCTGCTTGAAAGGTCCGCACTCTCTCTCTCTCTCTCTCTCTCTCTCTCTCTGTCACTGAATGAGAGACACAGGGACTGCTTGTATGAAGGCTCCATGTAGAATGGAGGTAAATGGCTCTCTTTTCATTTTTTGGGGGAGTCAATCTGTGCATGATGTTGGTGCAGCAGTATATTTTCTACACTCCCTTGGAGTTCCTCTTCTATTTAAAGACCTAAGACAGTTGTTAAAAGGAGATCTGCTGTGTCAGAATCTGGACTCTTATATGTGGCGCCTAAAAAAGCTTGCTATTTCGCTGATTTCTAGAAACAGGGTGACTAGTTACAAAAATATTCAGCTGGTGCACAGGTGACCATGGCATATGTCCAGTAACAAACCCTATTAACCACTTCAGCCTGTCCACAGCATGTTCACACCTCCTTCTCAAAGAGTTTGCACTTCTTAGAACCTGATCACACTGAGACGCGTCACGGTCGCTCCAAAAACGCCTGAGCTTATCTGGGGGGGGGAAACAGCTGTGAGCGTCGATGTAGCAGAGCTGTGTGTGCATACAGGCTCAAATAAAAGTGGGAAAATTACGTAAAAAAACGTAAAGCTCTCGCTGTTGCTTTGCTCATAGACGAGGAGGGAAAGATGTCATAAATAGTGGAGGTAAAGCCTCCTACCTGATTTGATTGGCTGCTTTGGACAAACGTGTCATCGAGTTCTGTAGCTCCGCATCTTGAGATAAAGCATTAAAATTTATGCACAGGCAAAAAAAACGCAAAAGAAACAACACTTTTCTAAGGACGTGTCTTTGTGTGACACGTGTGTGATAAGTGTATTATCATTTCACAGAAAAAGTCTGTATTTGTTTTTTTTTCAAGATGACCACCAAGTGGCAACATAAAGTGAAGCCAAAGACTGCAGTTCCTCCAGTGTCCACTAGAGTCTGTCTCCTGCAGTGAGTCAGTCCCCATAGAGCTCCATGTTAAAATGTCCAACTTTAAAGGCCTTCCTCTGCAGAGAGGAAGGCGAGCTGACGAGATGAATTCACCTGCTGCTCTCCTGCTCTCAGAAGATGTGGGCCAGAGAGCATCAAGTACGCTTCGTTCCTCAAGCTTTCTAATCTTCTTAAGTCAAATAAACAAGACACCTCTGGTCGGCTGTATGCCACCACAAATAGAATCTCTTCCTGTGGGACCATGATGGGTCATGATGGGAATTAGCCACTAGCACAGACTGACCAGCTTTGACATCTTGGTGTTTAGTGAGCCCTCGCTCTTCTCCAGCTCCATCCTCTCCTTCACATAGAGTCACTTCTGGGTCCAGGAAACCAACATGGTGATTGTGAAAACAGTAAACTCCAAGCTTGAAGGCTTGCAACAAACAATCGGGTGGCGTCAGGGGAGTAATGTCCATCATTCATTGGATCCATTTTATCCAACACTAATAACAAAGAGGCATCAGAAACACCTCTGAGCTGCATACACAGGGATCACTGCAGAGCCGAGGTTGTCGTGTCTGGGTGGAGGCGGGGGGTGTGTGAAGACTGGGATCAGTGTTCGATCCTGGACGGGTGACAGTTGGGGTCAGAGGTTCACTTTTCCCTCGGCTCCGTCACTCTCTCTCTCTCTCTGGACCGGCTGAAAGAAAAGGCTTGATGAGGAGGACTCGGAAGCAGCGAGGCATCTGGCAGCAGCAGCAGCGACTTACCTCCACATCCTGAGGGCCCGAGCCAGAGCCGCTCTGTGGTGGCCAGAGGAGGGAACAAGGTGCACACTGTGATCTAAACACACACTGGGGTAAGGGGGGGACGGTTCAGGTTACCCCTCCTTTGGTAGGTGTTTGCCACAGAGAAGCTCACTGTGAGGAGGAGGAGGAAGAGAAGGAGGAGGAGGAGGAGGAGAAGGAGGAGGAGGAGAAGGAGAAGGAGGAGAAGGAGAAGGAGGAGAAGGAGGAGGAGAAGGAGAAGGAGGAGGAGGAGGAGGAGGAGGCGAGATGGATGTTGTGAAATTATAAATTCCCACATGACAAAGTGGGATTTAATCGAGAAAATGGTGCAGCATGTGTTGATGAAATCTTCAAACACTCCTCTAATAAATGTCCTTTTCTTTCTAACCGTGTTACTGTAAATCATTTGGGCGGGCTCCACACACTCGCACAGTGCCAGATGTTGACACTGACGTCAGAGCACAGTAAATATGTCAGAGCAAACATGAGCTCACACTGACTTTGAGTATACTTAATATGATACTTCTGACCTGAACATTGGAGCTAAATGCAGTCATACTGCAGGACTTAAGTCATCACCTGCACAACCTTTTTCTAAATGGAAGTGATCAGTAAAAAGCAGAGCAGGTCTCTGGAGAGGAGGCAACAGTTTGAACACATCTGTCCACGACCTGTGTGCAATGACATACACAAATTGTTGCCAGACTACTCACAGTGCAGCTCATACAATAACACAGTTACATACATCGTCTGTAATCAGACAATACAAAGAGATAATCGTTTTCCCATGTTGGTGTGGAAGGCTTCACATATTTATAGACAAACTGTTTCTGCTTTCATGCACAGAGTTAGATCACAAGAAAACCCACACGTACATGTGTACACGTCCCCCACACTTTGATGTGAAGTAAAGGAGTGCCCTACATATTCAACATTCAAGAGCGATCTAAAACAAAGGCTAAAGGCAAACCAGAACTTTTATCACTTTTATATTCAACCTAAAATGCCACTTTTGTCTTTCTTTCGATGGGACGTTGGAGAAAGACGGGACAGAGGCATGTGGGAAACGACTGGATTGAACCGGGGATGACTCAAGCAGCAACTTCGGGTGTTTCAAAATGAAGCCGATGCTGAAGTGTAAAATCCTGCAGTTCCTGGAGTGTCCACTAGAGGCTGGCTGCAGAAGCACAGGAAGTCACATACACACCCATTCTAAAAAGCCTGTTTTTACAGCAGAGATGAACATGTTTACAGCCTGGTTCAAAAAACCAAATAGGTGTGATTAGCTCATGTCTGGATGGACACACACTGTACGGGGGGTGAATGTTTTGATGACTCATCAGTTTTGATTTGATGAAGGATAAGAGTTATTCACAATAAGGCGTGTAGCTGACCTGATTGACAGGTGGGCGCGGTGTAACGGTTTGTCAGGAGGTTTAAAACCCGCCTCAGCTCCAGCTCTCAGCCTGTCGTTAGGTTGACTGAAAGTTAGACTGAGACAGCATTTCCAGCATGGAGACCGCCATCGATGGGACTCCAGCGCCCCCTGCAGGAACAGACGGGGACGACACTCAGGCTTCGATGTACACGCTCTAACCTGGAGGCCTAAGCAGCACCCTCATTCTTGTTAACTCTAGCATGTTTACATCATGTTTTTTTACACTGATGTTCAGAATACTCTTACTGTCCTCACATCGAATGTGAAACTACAGCAAGCAGCCAGTTAGCTTAGCTTAGCTTAGCTTAGCTTAGTATGAAGACTGGAAACAGATGGCCTGGCTCTTTCCCAACAAAAAAGGTAAAACTGACCAATTGGTATTTTTGAATTTGACTGTATCATGGTATATCTCGTCTGGTAGTGAGTCCCTCCCAGTGACCCGTAACTGGGCCACTGGTTGCTTATCGTACCCCCCTTTCTCCATGACTCACCTGTCTTTTCTGTAACTATCTTAGTCAGGCTAATGCTAACAAATATCTTTAAAAAAAGGAATTCATTCAAGCTAAATCCTCTTAGAACATTATTTCCATTAGGCAACTGGCTGACTAGACATTTCCCAGTGTGCCAGGATTTGCACCCAAAAATCTCGATCTGCTTAAATGTTAAGACTACACAAGGATTACAGGTGCAATCATTGGGAGAGTGAGTGGAGGCGGGTATTAGCAAGCGCATCTAAGCTGGATTTAAAAAGAACTGAGCGTTCATCCATACTGGTGTAACGTTGTAGTGAATCCTGGAGGCAGAGGAGAGCAGTTACTGTAGAAGTCAGCGAGGATTCATGCCTTGGCATCGACACTTAGGCCATGGAAATAACGCTAAAGGCTTTTCCTATGAAGGTAGTGAATATACCATGGAGGAACAATAACCTCAGCACTCTCCATTCAGACCCTCCTCTGTCTGAACAAGGAGAGACTATCATCGGAGTCTACCTGTTGGTGCTAGGTGAGTCAACCTGCATGTCAATATGGGATAGAGGTGTTAGATTTGATTTTGGTTTTTAGCTGCTTTGGGACCATTTTAAGAGGAATGGCTGAATTATAATAATGAACGCCCAAGACAAAACATCCAACATTGTGAGTAAAATGAATATCTATTAAAAGGATGTGGAATCGTATTTTTGCTCATCTCTGCTAAAGACTCGGGAGAATGGCGGCACATCAGTGAAGAGTCAACAACAGTAACTTATGCTTCTCGTGTTTCCAAAGACTAGTGCACTGCTGACAACACGAGTTACACCACGGCACAGTTAGTCCACTTGGGGTTAAAAAGGCTGAGATATAAAAGGTGCTTTCTTAACTGTTATTGTCTCTGTGGTAAACGTGTTCATTTTGCAAAGCAGCAAACCCTTCTCCTTTGTACTCTAATCCTCCTCTCTCTCTATGGAGCGCTCCGTCTCCTGCACTATGAGCCACTTGTCTGTATACTGTCCTCTTCTTTACTCGTTAATGTCTCTGCTGTGGCTTCATTGTGTTGTTCTCTTTTTCACTGATTTATGATCTGAATCTGAACATACAGTATCATGTCTTTTCATTTTGTGTGGAATATCTTTTCATATTTTAATATGTTGTGTCACATCATCCTGTCAGATACCATATGGGTTTATCATATTATATCAGAGGGTATCGGGTTGAGTCTCATTGTTTCATAACGTACCATGAACTCCTGATTTTGATTTTAAACGTAAAAGGAATTTATGAACATTGGGGTAAGGGGCTGCTTGAGGCGTTCCCCACCAGAGGTCGATGCTGTACGGGGGTCCTTGGCATGGCAAAGTTTGGCAGTAGCTTAGTCCACTTGCACTTGGATTTGATAATTTGAGGGTTGCAGGTTCAAGTCCTGTCAGCCTGATGCATCAGCTATGACTAAGTTGACTAAAACCCTACGTTTAGTTAGCTTCTAACCAAGCAGAAAATGCACAAGTATAAAAAACGGGGAGGGCAGTAGCTCAGTCTGTAGGGACTTGGGTTGGGAACCGGAGGGTCGCTGGTTCAAGTGCAGGTGCGGAACAAGTCTGGAAATTGATTAGGTAGCCCTTGAGCAAGGCACTGGATCGTGCAGCCCCTCACTCTGACATCTCTGCATTAATGCGCATCCGCAGGTCATGTTTGTGCATGTGTATTTCCATGTGTGTAGCACGTTTCTCAGTAACAGAGTGTAAACAGAATTTCCCCTCGGGTGTTAATGAAGTATGCAAAAACTAAATCCTGAAGTTAGGGCCGCATGTGATCCGCAGACAGCTGGTGGTGCAGGTTATAATAAATACTGACGCTAAGTCCCTGTGCAGAGTCTCAGTGAAAAAACGCATCGTGATGTGCCATGTAGACCCGATGTGACGATGTCTGTCAGTCTCTCTGTGAGGAAGTTCCTGGTTTGAATCCCCGTCTGTCGGGAGTCTCTCTGTGAGGAGATTCCTGGTTTGAATCCCCCGTCTGTCGGGAGCCTCTCTGTGAGGAGGTTCCTGGTTTGAATCCCCGTCTGTCGGGAGTTTCTCTGTGAGGAGGTTCCTGGTTTGAATCCCCGTCCTTCAGGAGTCTCTCTGTGAGGAGGTTCCTGGTTTGAATCCGCGTCCTTCAGGAGTCTCTCTGTGTGGAGGTTCCTGGTTTGAATCCCCGTCCTTCAGGAGTCTCTCTGTGAGGAGGTTCCTGGTTTGAATCCCCGTCCTTCAGGAGTCTCTCTGTGTGGAGGTTCCTGGTTTGAATCCGCGTCCTTCAGGAGCCTCTCTGTGAGGAGGTTCCTGGTTTGAATCCCCGTCTGTCAGGAGTCTCTCTGTGAGGAGGTTCCTGGTTTGAATCCCCGTCCTTCAGGAGTCTCTCTGTGTGGAGGTTCCTGGTTTGAATCCGCGTCCTTCAGGAGCCTCTCTGTGAGGAGGTTCCTGGTTTGAATCCCCGTCCTTCAGGAGTCTCTCTGTGAGGAGGTTCCTGGTTTGAATCCCCGTCCTTCAGGAGTCTCTCTGTGAGGAGTCTGCATGTTCTCCTCGTTCATGTGTGGGTTCTCTCCTGGTTCTCCGTCTTCCTCCCACAGTCCAAAGACATGCTCTTTAGGTTAACTGCTGACTCTAAATTGTCTGTAGGTGTGAATGTGAGTGTGGCTGGTTGTCTGTCTCTATTTGTCAGCTCTGTGATTGGCTGGTGAACAGTTCAGGGTGTAACCCTGCCTCTTGTCCAATGACAGCTTGGATTGATAACGGATGGATGCATCAATGTGTATAAAGCCAGATTCAGTCTCTTCTAGCTGAGAGTAGAAAAGTTATATTATGAATGTCTTTTTTTGTCTTTTTGGTCGATCCGAAAAACCGATCCAATCTGGATCAGAATCTGTGATTTGATCTGAACCGTGGGATTTGTGATGCATAACACCTCTAAGTGTAACTATACCCTACTCCACCCTCTTCTACTGTACTGTTTTACCTTTAAATACCAATTCAGAGGCCAAATAATACTCATCACAAATCTGATTAATTCTATACTCTGCATAACTCTCCTCAAGTCTTCTTAATGTAAGCAAAACATTCAGAACTTTATTTGTCTAGCTGCCTGTGCTGTGCCGTCCCCGTTCTAAATAACCTCTGTGTAATAAGTGGTGTGTTTGTCTCTCTGCAGGATGGCTCTCCTGGTTTGGAAACAGTTTAGTAATGTTTGTCCTGCACAGACAGAGAGCCACGCTTCAGCCAACTGATTACCTCACGTTAAATCTCGCCATCTCTGACGCCAGCATCTCCGTGTTTGGCTACTCCCGAGGGATCCTGGAAATATTCAATATCTTCAAGGACGACGGCTATTTAATCACCTGGATATGGACCTGCCAGGTAAATGCCACAGTGAGATTAAACTTGCTTTGAATAGAGCGTAAGAACAAGAAGATGGACGGTCGATTTGTTGGTTTAAAAGAGCAGTATGTAACTCTGACCCCTAGTGTTTAAAATGGGTACTGCAGTTCTAAAATTCAATTCAAAACTCAAAAATGCAATTCTAGGCCACCATGTGGTGGACTCTGAAGCTTCAGTGTTTATTCAGCTCTGCATGGGTCTGTAAACCTTTCTGTGTTCTAACCTCTCTCCATTTTTCAAAAGCATCTCCAATATTGATCCTAGTTTGAGCACGTTTCTGCTCGTGGAGCTTATTAGAAACATGCAGAGGCTTTTTAGGTCGGGTACAATCACTTCTATCTGAACCACTTCTCTTGACCGCTTCCATCGCTGCAACACCTGTTGACCTGATAACTGCTCTCATATCTGACAAACCGAGGGGCGTCCAAAACGGCCGTGTGGGGGGGGTCTTGATCAGATAGTAAGATACCTTTATCATCTCACTCTCTACACATGGTTGTAGACCTTTGTGGTTGGACCTTTATGCACAACCTGAATGTGATGACTCTGCAGAAAATAATTTTTAAAAAATTGTATGCATTGATTCACTTGAGCAAATCCTCATTAATAAAGTACATTAAAGGAATCTGTGGGAGTCTTACAGAACACTGAGTCTGCATGTGTGTGTGTGTGTGTGTGTGTGTGTGTGTGTACAAAGGATTATGCTAGTAGCCATGTGGGCTGGAGGTTAAATCTGTAATGAGATTACCCCCGTGGAGACCTTTAAACCAGGGAAACTCTTTGAGCAGAATGGTACCTGTCAACAAGCAAACAGGAAACAAATAAGGCGTTAGGGTTAGGGTTAGGGTTCGTTGCATAATTTAACCTCCATGTTTTCATGTTTTCGACTGATTTTGGAGTAGAGTTGTGTGTGACGTTTCTAAGAAGAAGTGCTCGTTCCTGTGTTCCCCTCCTGCCACAGGCTCGGCCTGAAATGAAATAGTTGTCATACTTTGACTTGAAATTCATCCAGAGGTATTTTGTCTTGCTCAGGGCGAGCTGTGCTGGAAACGGTGATCCCCGTGTAGCAGTGAGAATGAAAACAAGCTGCTGTGAAGGGGACCCTTTCAGTCCGGGACCAGAGTTTAGACCCTGTAAATAAAGATGTGCTGCACCTTAAGGCTTCACTACAGATGAGCTCATGTTTCAGACATCCAACCTCAGGTTTTCAGGTGAAGGAGAAATATTGGGATAGCAGTACGCCCCTCTCGTTTCACTGTCCCCTGAGAGAGGTGGGCAGAGAGAGGGAGTAAATAAAGCAGGTGGGGGGGGGGCTAAGAAGAGACAGAAATAGAGGAGGGAAGGAACAGGAAGGTGAAGGAGACAGGCATGTGAGAAGCATTAGCAGATTACTGCATGGAGCATGATGGGACATGAAGGGCTGCAAGCAGATCTGCATGTTGTTCAGCCTATGGGAGAGGATATTAATGAATATGAGGAGGGAGCCTGGAGGTGGTTTCTGATGCTGCAGAGGGGGAATGCACATAAAAGATGGCAGAGGAAGTGGAAGAGGTGAATAAAAACCAATAAAACCTTTTTCTCAAAGCCGGGGCAGACTGTGCAGCGGTGATACTTTAAGATGAGCTCAGAGGATGAAATCACATCGTTTCTTCAAAGCTGCAGATTTAAGGCACAACGTTTCTATTCTTAGAAGAACAGATAATGTACATTCAAGTGGTGCTGAATTAAAATAAGACCAGTCTAGACGGTGGTTTGTGCCGTAATCTGCTGAATGTGAGGGTGTAAAAACGTGATGACTGACAGTAATAGGATTAGGACTAAGGAAGATCAAGACATTAACCAGCGAGAGACCTGAACTGATCCGTGTCACCTGGAAACGGCACAGCGGGCCGCCGGAGCCAGACTTGAACAACGGCAAGCACAACAGATCCAGAATAAGAGACTGGACGTTCACAGCTTTGTGGTTAAAGGATCAGTTTGGTGTTTTTTCAGTGTGGTAGGATGAGGTGAATAGTAAGTGTATTAACCACATGAGGTGTCGATCAGCTCGGACCATTTATTGAGAATCCAGTCAGCAGAGAAGTCATGCTTTACATGTAGACTGTAAATATTAAAGAGTGACGTCACCCTGTCCCTGCAGGGGGCGCTGGAGTCCCATCGATGGCGGTCTCCATGCTGGAAATGCTGTCTCAGTCTAACTTTCAGTCAACCTAACGACAGGCTGAGAGCTGGAGCTGAGGCGGGTTTTAAACCTCCTGACGAACCGTTAAGGCCTTTGCACCCTGAGCCGAGTGGTTAGTGCGCGCCCCATGTACAGAGGCTGTAGTCGTCGAAGTGGGTGGACCAGGTTCAAATCCGACCTGTGGCTCCTTTACAGTATCTCGACGATAAGGGCATAAAAAGCCCCCAAAAATAATAGTACAACATAAACAGGATGTCAGTGGTGCAGTTCAACACGCTGCACGCTGCACATAATGGGAAAAAAAATAATGACAGATGAAAGTTTCAAACATGACGGACACAACATGAGGTCGTATTTCTTTTTTTAACGTGCGTCAATTCTAGACAAATAAAAATGGACTCACTGTGCAAACACCGCCCCCGCCTGTCAATCAGGTCAGCGGTGTGAAATACGCAGCAGAGAAAATGTGTCGGCCATATTTTGTGTTGTCCTGTGAGGTGCAGGCAATTCTCGATAAAACACCACGACTCTGAGCGTTTCCTGACTTACCCGGCCGAGCTGAGCGGCATCCCTGACTGCTGATAAACTTACCGCAACTTCAAACTTTACTTTAAAATGATTTATTCATTTTTCCTTATCCATCATTACACTTCAGTTACTTTATTCATTTCAGTATTTACCTTTATAGTTATATTATATTAGTTGTTCCACTTTTCACCATGCACCTTATAACTTATCATTTAGATTTTGCCTACTTGCACATAGTTCTGTATATATATATGTATTTCTCGTTTACTGCACATAGTTCTGTTTACATCTGTTAGTCCGATCACTGTCCACTTATATCTACTCCTTTATATTTTATATTTTGTATTTTGATTTAAGTTTAAGCTTTGAGTTGTATTTAAATTGACACTTTATATTTTAGGTTTAAAATGTTTCGTTAACTTGCACTGTTGTTAATTCACTGCTCTGTGTGTCTTTGCATTGCCCCCCGGGGACAAATAAAGTTTTTTGAATTGAATTGAATTGAATTAAATTTCCTCCACTAGAGGAAAAAGTCCTGCAGCTCCCGTCAGAGGAAACGTTGTCTGGAACACTTTGGCTTAAAACCAGACAGTGAGCTCTCCTCGGCTGCAGCGTCTCTATCTGATAAAGTCTAAAGGAAAACAAAGGCCTGCAACATGTAAGACTCAGCCTGAGGACAGGGGCCTGATTCACCGACCTCTTCTCTGTTTTCTCTTCCAGGTAGACGGGTTCTTCACCTTGCTGTTCGGCCTCGCGAGCATCAACACCCTGACTGTCATCAGCATCACCAGATACATTAAAGGGTGTCACCCCAACAAAGGTGAGAGAGCTGAACCTCCTGAGAGAACGTAAAGAGCGCCTCAGACCCACGGCGTCTCCTCCGCCTGCCTCACATTCCTGCGCTTCTTATCTGACAGAAAAGTGTGGTTCAGGCTGCTTATGAAACCTTATTACCCGCTGCAGCTCGGGGAAATTACTACCACCCGTCTCCAGCAGTTTTATTTACATCGCACCAATGTGTCATTTAGTAAATCAGAGGTGACGCGCTCTATTTTTGGATGCTGAAGAATGTCTTAATTACACACAAATTAGACAGAGCCCGTGTTGTCAGAATGGGATTTTTACAGCGTTTGTGGTTTTTCATAAAACATAAGCAACATAAAAACCTGTATGTGGGTTTAAACCATGAAAAGCTGCTGGTGCATGTTTGATATCAACACATTTACTGTGTGCAGCTGCAGGTTCTGCAAACAGCAGGAGAATTAAGGTAACAGACATCAGGACTTTTATTCAAAGTGATGTCATGTCCTCAAACTCCAAATGAAACCTCCAAAGACAGCTCGGGTCACCAGAACCAAATGGAACCAAAAACAGGCCTGTTTTTGGTTCCATTTGGTCCTGGTGCACCTTACTGCCAAATTTCCTCATAGCCTGTGCACGTTGCAGTTTTGCTCCGTCTGATGGCGTGCGCCCCGCCCCTAAATCTGAGGAACAGAGAATCCAATCGTCCCAACTGGGCTGAACTTTTCACACAGCGTTGACATCAGATTATCGGTGCTCAGAAACTGAGCGAGCTGATTTTCCTCCTCCTGAACACAAAGAGAAGGGGACTTTGTCAACAGAGGGTCTGTTCAGATGTTTGCAAAGGCTGCAGATAGAAAAAAAGACTCCATTGTTGAGGAAATGTCACAACATTCAGAACGAGTCAAGAATGCTGCATCTTTAAAAAGCCTCTCTCACTTTTTCCATCCTGTGCTCGCCAGAGTCAAAACGTTTAACCTTTTCAAAGAGCGAACTGTTTCATCGTGTTTCTGCAGCTTACTGCATCAGCATCAACACCATCGCTGTGGCTCTGATCTGCATCTGGACCGGAGCCGCGTTCTGGGCCGGAGCTCCTCTGCTGGGCTGGGGGAGCTTCACAGGTACACACACACACACACACACACACACACACACACACACACACACACACAGACACACAGACACACACACACACACACACAGAGAGACACACACACACACACACACACAGACACACACACAACACACACACACACACACACAGAGACACACACACACACACACACACACACACAGAGACACACACACACACACACACACACACACACACACACACACACACACACACACACACACACCCACACACACACACACACACACACACAGACACACAGACACACAGACACACACACACACACACACACCACACACACACACACACACACACACAGACATACAGACACACAGACACACACACACACACACACACACACACACAGAGAGACACACACACACAGACACACACACACACACACACAGACACACACACAGACACACAGACACACAGACACACACACAGACACACAGACACACACACACACACACGCACACACACACCACACACGCACACACACACACAGACACACACACACACACACACACACACACACACAACACACACACACAGCTGTCCTGACTTTGTCGTCTTCTGTCCCTCAGATCGAGGGTACGGTACCTGTGAGGTGGACTGGGCCAAAGCTAATTACTCCACCATCTACAAGTCGTACATCATCTCCATCCTCATCTTCTGCTTCTTCATCCCCGTCATGATCATGCTCTTCTCCTACGTCTCCATCATCAACACGGTGAAAAACACCAACGCCATGTCGGCTGACGGCTCACTAACCGCCCGTCAGAGGAAGGTGGAGCGAGACGTCACAAGGGTAGGCAAACCTCCCAACATGAAAATGTTTATTCAGGGCCGTGTCCAGAACTTTTTGGACTGGGGTGGCCCAAACGGCACCACTGACTTGTGCGGGGGAGGGGGGGGGGGGGGACTGAAGTTTGTGTGAAACGAAACGATGGAGTCTTAAAATACATAAACGGTCTTCATCAGGTCATGAGTCTGAGGCCAACTCTCCATCAATCGAGTTCAGTAAATGCACAAGTCTGAGTCCAAGTCCGAGGCGAGTCATGAGACCTGAAATCAGGACTCCAGTCGGACTCCAGTCCTCTAACCTTCATGTGCAGAACACGCTGTCACATCAGCTGTTCAGACTGAACTCAGATCTCTCCTGCAGATTTCACAGATGATGCATGCCAGAATCAGAATCAGAATCAGAATCAGAATCAGAATCAGAATCTGGGTTTATTGCCAAGTACATTTACACATACAGTGAATTTGACTTGGTGTATTGGTGCTAAACAATTAACAAGGAAATAAAGCAGAACTAGAAACAACTTAAATAATACAGAATAAGAAGATATTACAGTATATAAAATAGAATTTAAAAATATAAAATTATGAAAAATAAAAAACACAAAATGTACAAAAGGTGCGATGTAGGAGCTGTTTTCTTTTTGAAACAAACAGAGACAACCAAATCAGTTCCCTGTCCACACACAGTTAAGCTGCTGTGTCAGTACTCCAGCTTTGCAGACGGGCTGTGCTGGCTGCCGTCTCCTGCAGGAAGCGCTGTGTGTGTGTGTGTGTGTGTGTGTCGACTTCTACTTTGTGCAACCGCTCCTCAAGAAAAGCTGAACTTTGCCTTTAAATCCTGATTTCAAAGTATCCTCCTCTGAGTCCTGACGATTGTTCCCTCATGGTCCTCTCTCCAGATCTCCATTGTGATCTGCACGGCGTTCATCATGGCCTGGTCTCCGTATGCAGTGGTGTCTATGTGGTCGGCCTGGGGCTTCCACGTGCCAAGCACCACCAGCATCATCACGCGTCTCTTTGCCAAGTCCGCCAGCTTCTACAACCCGCTCATCTACTTCGGCATGAGCTCCAAGTTTCGCAAGGACGTGTCGGTGCTGCTGCCGTGCGCCAAGGAGCGCCGGGAGGTGGTGCGTCTACAGCACTTTAAAAACATCAAGCCCAAGGCGGAGGCCACGCCCCCGCACGCATCAATTCCTGTTCAGAAGATTCAGGCAAAATACATCAAAGCGGAATCCAACAATCCTGACAGCGACTCAGGAGTCAACAGCCCCCCTCAGACCCCCCCGTCTGACCCACAGGAGCAGATCCACGTGGACCTGCCTTTGCCCTCGCACATCGAGACATCCGAGTACTGGTGTGACCGTCTCTGAGGACTGTCTGCGTCTCACACCACGACGGGAGATTATCTGTATTTTTCTATGTTCTGCTCTCACCTGTGTGTATGAACTGTGTGTGTAATGAATGTTAATAAATTATTTTCTCAACCTCACACACTTCTTTAAAGCTTTTGGAAAAAAAACTTATTTTAAACAAATGATTTCCTGAAGTCACAGAACAGAAGTAAGAGAAGAAGAAGAACAGATGTTATGAAGTTAAAGTCGTGCACTCGATGCTCACAGTGTCTGAAGGACATTTAGAATTATTCAACGGAATTCAAACATCAAATCAAAGAACAGAGAGTAACGGCCTGTGACCACTGAGGCCATTTGTTTTTGCACTGTCAGCGCCCATTTTCCATAAAAACACATGTGGGTCAGTCTGTAGGAAAACGCCTTAATAGTCAGCTGTTTTTTGTAGCTGTGCTCAGGCAAATGTCCCTTCTCCATCACAGACCAATAGAAATCAAGAAGGGGCAGGACTTTTGTCAACAAAAATTGTGGAAGTGAAACTTATCTGACTCGACTTTTAAAGGAACAATAGAAGGTCTAAAGCAAGCAGCAACCTCCGATGTTGAAAAATGAAGCCGGTGCTGCAGAACAACATCCTGCAGTTCCTGGAGTGTCCACTAGAGGCTGGCTGCAGAAGAACAGGAAGTCACATACACACCCATTCTAAAAAGTCTGTTTTTACAGCAGAGATGAACATGTTTACAGCCTGGTTCAAAAAACCAAATAGGTGTGATTAGCTCATGTCTGGATGGACACACACTGTACGGGGGGTGAATGTTTTGATGACTCATCAGTTTTGATTTGATGAAGGATAAGAGTTATTCACAATAAGGCGTGTAGCTGACCTGATTGACAGGTGGGCGCGGTGTAACGGTTTGTCAGGAGGTTTAAAACCCGCCTCAGCTCCAGCTCTCAGCCTGTCGTTAGGTTGACTGAAAGTTAGACTGAGACACATTTCCAGCATGGAGACCGCCATCGATGGGACTCCAGCGCCCCCTGCAGGGACAGACGGATTTCCTGGGTGCCAATAACCTAGTGGTGGCACCAATCAAGGAGCTGTAGGTTCTAGTCCTTCTGCTGCATGAAATTCCCTCCTCTCTACTCCCAACATTTTTCTTTTCAACTGTCCGATCCGTTTCTCAAGATCTCCACTTATCCATGTCGTTGTCTAAACGCCGCTTCTTCTCCTCTGATGGTGACCTGATTTCTTAAGATCTAGAGAAAACAACTGAAACTTACTCATTATCATTGAAGAAACATGTAAAATAAAAAGTATGGATGGGTTCATGTCCTCTGGGCTTTGGTTACTGAGGCAGTAACATCTGGAAACACTGAGCCATCCTCGACCAATCAGAAGCATGAGATGGCACAAAGCTCTTCCCCCTGAGGGCACTTAAACTCTCAAGTATCTCGCTCATTCCTCGGAGGAACATTGGCGCTACACGTTACAGAACATTGTCCTTTCACGCCTCCGTTTATTGGAGCTCCATCATGTCAATCAACCAAGACCGGGTTGGAGTTTATCTGGAAATGAGGCAAAGTCTCTCTTTCCACACAGAAACTGTGAGAACTCGTTCCATTGGCGGAGGTGAGTTAGCTCTGCTGAAACAGCACCTTCCCAACATCAATGGGTAATTATTTACTTGAGCCGTGAAGGTTTAATTTAAAGAAAAAGTTCCAGAGGTGTTTCCTGCGGTTCTGTAAAGACCTTAATCACACGCACAATGAGCTCTTTATAGCAGCTCTTAAGACGTTTAAATCAAAATGGCAATCAGCCTCAGGATAACATCTATACACAGAGCTGCTGTGCCAATCTGCGTAAACACACACAGCTCGCCCTGTTACACAGCTGAGGAAGCCATATGACTGTGTATGTGTTTGGGGGGGTCAGTGGGGGTGCACATGAACCCCACAGTGACAGTGGGTGGGACTTTCCCAAAGAGGTGTTGATTGTTTTATTGTGTGGAGGAGGAGAGATGCTCCGGGTGAGAGTTTACACACTTCTCTTGTCTTTCACACCTGCAACAATGTGTGAACACAGCCCAAACATTTCCTTAACTTCACTCGGACCTGATGTGTGAGCACGGCATGTAAAAGTCAGGAGAATTCACCACGAGCAGGAGTTGACGTTTATACCAAGCGACCGCTGCGACCGTTGTCCACGTTGTGAAGAAGCTTCATTCTCTCGTCTGCTCGTCTTCTTCTCTACTCGTTTATACACAAAGCTCTGCTGTAAAGACAAAACGTTTCATCATAAAGTCAGACTTGTTGCTTTGTCCGCTGTTTCCATGTCATTCTTTTTATGTCATATCCTGCCTCCTGAGACCCCGCCCCCTCCTGGGGAAAATTTCACACAAGAAGGGACATGCATGAATAACAACTTTAGAACATTTAAAGGAGCAGCCTGTCCGGAAATTCAGTCAGAGATTTTATCGATCAACTAGTTATTTATCAAAGACTGTAAATATGAACCTTTGAAGCCTGTTCCTACAGGGGCGCTGGAGTCCCATCGATGGCGGTCTCCATGCTGGAAATGCTGTCTCAGTCTAACTTTCAGTCAACCTAACGACAGGCTGAGAGCTGGAGCTGAGGCGGGTTTTAAACCTCCTGACAAACCGTTACACCGCGCCCACCTGTCAATCAGGTCAGCTACACGCCTTATTGTGAATAACTCTTATCCTTCATCAAATCAAAACTGATGATGTCTATAGGGTCTGTTGGGGCCCTTCCACCAGCACTGAGCAGGGCAGTGAGAGTGGATGATGTCAGATGGTGCCACCTTAGGGAGGTTTATACTGTCATTGCAAAATTTGCTAATTTTGTGTTGCTCCCCCTTCTGGTCTGGGGCCCCCCTACTGGTCTGGGGCCCCAAGCAGTTGCCTGCCTTGCCTGTTGACAGGCAGCGCCCCTGCATGTGTCCATAGCTCAGCCAGAGACCTCCACCTGAACTCTGGAGTCTGATGGATGCTCATGGTTCAGATCATAAATGTCATATTTGCACTTTTTTTTGATGAATTGTGGGTAATTGTTGGTTCATGTATCTCCAGTTTTTTCTGCATGATTTGACTTTTTCTTCATGAATTCGGTCATATTGTGAACTTGAGCTTCTTTTTCTAAGTTTAGTGAACCAAACAACCTTTGTCCCTCTGAAGTTTAACTTCTATTCAAAGCAGATCAGCACAGTCACAGATCGGGGTTTCCTTCCTTATATAACTGAGACATTGCAGCTTGACGAGCTGAAATCCTCTCAATAAGATATTAAATTAAACTTTTATTTTTTATCTTCTTCGGTCTTTAACTTGTCAATCAAGCTTGAGGATGTTCGCAGCGTTACGTTCCGCTGCTGTTGGTCTCTGCATCATCGCCCCGGGTCACTGATCTCCTCCTGCCTCATGGGTGCAGCGCAGGGTGCCTGAAGTGGGACGGGCAAACAGGAGAAACCCCAGCCCCGTCCCGATCTGCACGTTTAATGAGCGCTCCGATCCTGCAGGAGGAAAAGTCCAGGTGGAACAGTTCCGCGCTCTCTGGTCGCTTTTCCATGAAAGCGTAAAAAGGATTTTGGGGGGAAACTGCGCGTGGATTTACGTTTCTTTAACGGCTAGAGGACTTTTTTAAGAAACCTTCTCAGGTAAATTCACTTTTATTTCTCTGAGCAGATGAGGATTTGGAAAAGAAAGCTTCCATTCAGCCGAGCAGATGAGCTGGTGATGTTGTGTTCGTTGCTGCGTGGCATGAAGGAATTATCATGTTTTTAAATAATGCGTAATTACGCACGTTTGGCGTCCAAAATGTCCAAGAACATTTTAGTATTTTGACTAATGAAGCCTGTAGGGGTTTCATGAGATTTGTAATGTTTTCTTCACTTTTACTTCTGTTGAATTTCAGCTCAGCTCGTAAGATTTGACAGGCTGTCCAAATAAGAGAACTGCTGCTTGAATTCGGTGTTTGTTTGACTTGATTTCCCCCCTTGAACAGCCTCCCCCTCCTCTTTCCTAAAGTAAATGTTTTAGCTGAATGAAATCAGCCATGTCAGGATCATTCATGCTGCAGCCTGTGGAAAATAATCCTGTTTTTATATTTATTTTTTTACTCCTTCTCCGGGGCAGCCCGAGCTTCTCTGTTTAGAAATGACTCATTTGGTTTGTGTAATGAGCAGACATATGAGAGGAGAATTCTCCTGCATACTGTACATTGTTTGACATTTCTCCGTGTATCCTCTCTAACATTTCTTTACTGGTTGAAGCAGCCTGATTAAGAGCAGGTGGTCTCCATACCTACATGTCCAGCAGCACACTGCAGGCTGCGGCTTGCGCTGAAGCTGGTGCCAAGAATTAAAGTAATTCAGCCTGTTCAGAGCTTGATAAACAAATAGTGTCCCTGCAGCAGCACCAAAAGGCTTCAGAACTGACCTTGTAGAGACATGTTGGCTTTCTTGTGTGTCTGATCTCTCCTACAACACTTGGCACATAACATGCTTACAGTACGTTTCTGACACCTGTGAGTGCTGGGATTTTACACTCCCTGGCACTGGGTGTGTGCAAACACTGTCTCAGGCATGCATTCACTGGAATCACTCAGGAACAGATTTAAACCAGGTTCGAGGTGGGTCATGGTACTCAAAATACGCCTTAATTGCCTCTAGTGAAAACATGCAATTTATTTACACCCAAAAAACAGGAATGTGGGCGCTGCAGAAACTGAAGAAGATGAAATCCAGTCGTTTTGTTTTTATGTAGAGCTGCATGGCCTGATGTTTCAGCACGACAGAGGCGGGATGTTGAAGCTCCTGTGAGGAGTTTTTAGCTGGTTATGGAACAGACTGACATGTTTACTGAAGCCTCTTAAAGAGCTAGAAAAGCAAACGAGACGATCAGGGTTAAAACTGATTATTTCTTTATAGTTATTTTTAAAGGCCTGAAACCACTGCTGCAGGGACGGTGTCTTCATAGAGTCCTACTGAAACTCCCTTCATCAATTTGTTTTGACCCAAAGATTCACAGTAACTCC